CCCCTGAACAAACAAGCTCCACCTTTCCTCATTGGCTTTCTCACCTTTGCAGATGGCTCCACCATCATGTCCCAGGAGACCCCTCCCTCTGAAAGACCCCTCTGGCCCTTCTTCCGATTGGTCATTTCCCCCAGGAACCTCCATTTGCAGGGAGAGCCTGGGCCAGCCATGTTTCTCCTTCCTGCCTCTCTCGGCTCCACTCCTGACCTGGCCCCACATAGGTATTTTTTGCTCTCCCCTCTATTTTTCAGCTCCCTTTAATATGTTATCTTCCCCCAGCAGAATTTAAGGAAGTTCCTTGAGGGCAGGGACTCTCTTTTGGCTTGTATTTGCACTCCTAGCCCTTAACACAGTAAGCACTGAATAAAGGCTTCTTGACTTGTCTTACATACTCATAGACAGCAGGGAAGAAGCGCATGGATATGAAGGAAAATATTGAAGCTGAGAGAGCTGCCGAGTGTGATTCACACCCCTCCTCTCTCCGTCTCTCTGTCTCTGTTTCTTTCTTACACACACACTTAGCCCCATTCTCCAGTCGCTCCATGTCACCTTTGAGATCAAATATAAACTTCTCTCTTTGGCTTCTGAAGCTCTTCAGAAGTCACCGCCTTGATGGCTTTCCCTTCTCTCCCATGTTACTCTCTCCTCTGCAGTTTAACCATCGTGGGCTCCTCCCACTGTTCCCCACAGATTCCATCTCCTGGCATCACCTTTGCACTGTCTCTCATTGGTGTTTGGAATGTAGTTCTTCCTACTCTCTGGGAAGGAAGGGACTCTTTCACTCCTGGATTTCCCTCGAGATTCAATTCAAACACCACCTTCTACTGGATGCCTTTCTGGACCGCTCTGCTGTTAGTGTACTTCCTCCCATAACCACCCTGTCTTCATTTTCTATTTATTCTGTGCATATATGTATACGAATGAAGAATATAAGCTCCCTGAGGGCAAGGCCTACTTCCCTTTTGCCTTTATGGCTCCAGAACTCTGCATATAGTAAGCATTCAGCAAATGCTTGCTGATCATTGCCTGAATGGTCAACAGGAAGAGTTCCCAAAAGAGAGTGATGGGAATGAGATCAAGAGCAGAAGTACAGAACCAAAAATGTGGGCCCAGCTGGCTGCTGGGAGCTCCCTGGCTACATAAGGGCTCTGGCTAAAACAGGCCAAGGGCCCAGCAGCCTTGTCATTCTTCAGGCCTCCAGGCCTTCATGTGCATCACTGACAGCACTTCTTGATTTCAGAGAAGGGGAACAATCATGATGTCAGGCCTGCCTGTAGGCATATGCTGGGAACGGCCAGATGTGTGGATGGCTCTGTTAAAGGAAAGTGTTCATGAGCAAATGAGTTCCTGGGCTCAGAGCTGAGGCCACAAGCTCCTGGGGGTAGAGGAAGCTCCCTGAGCTAGTGCAGCTCAGCACCTTCTCCACAGCGGACAGTCTTTGAACATCTCCTGCAGCATTGAGAAGCAGGTGACTTGCTCAGGATCACCTGGACAGTCAGTCTGTGTCAGAATCCAGGGCGGCTCCCTGATTCTGCTGCCAGGATTCTTTCTAGCCGATAAGCCACATTGAAACCATGGGTAAATCCCATCACTTCATTGTGTCTGTAAAGATGGGCCTGATTTCCACTCTGATGCTCCACATTTCTAGCGAAGGGGGTAGCTCCTTGTACTTGGGAGTTTGCTATCCTGTTATGGCTAAGGAATAAGAAGCCTGGACATGACTAATAGGAACCTGAAAGAATTTATGCTCAGAAAATTCCCACTCTGCTGCCTTCAAGTTTTGTAAAGAAAGTTTCATAAGCTTTTATGTCAAAATCAGAGCCACCAAGGGCAATCAATCAGGGGTGTTGTGCAAAGCTCAGAAAATGTTTTTCTAACAGTCTTCTATATATTTCTATATATTTATTATATAATAATATACAATAATATAATATTATAAAAATAATTCTATATATTTCTATATATGTTTCTTTCTATCTTCTCCCTAGTCTTCTATTTCATTCCCTTGTGAAACAAAACTAATTTCTCCCCATACCTATTTGGATCTGGCAGCAATCTAGCACTCTCTGGTTTCTTTTGAAGATGAGACATTGGGTGGAAATGAGCTGGGCTGATTCTTGATTTCACTAAGACATGAGTAGACTCTGCATTCTCACTTAGGCAGAGGATTCCAAGGGGATCTACAGTTGGTGAAGAGCATGGTATTGAAAAGAGAGAGCAAAACACACACACACACACACACACACACACACACAAACGTGCACACACCCACTCAGGTACACATACCACATTGTTCACACCAGAAGGGGTGAGAAGGGATTTCCTAGCAAGGACAGGTTAGGAGGAGGAGACTAGAGGTTGGAGGGACATCACATAGTCTGAGCAAAGGGTCGAGGAGTGTTGGGTGAGACCACGGCTAGACATAGAGCGGGAGGAACAGATGGGTGAGAAATCAGATCTTGATAACCAACTGAATCTGGTGGATGGGAAATGTGAGAAGCAGAGATGCTGCTGAGAGCTCAAGCTTGTGGGGGAGGGAGACAATGGGGCCCCAACTCTGAGCTAACAAGTCTATTCTATTGTGGCTTCTACCTCAGCCAACTTCAACTTCAGCCATCTTGCTACTGGCCAAGGAGAGAGCCCACCCATGGACCTCCAACGTAGATATAACGTGACAGCTCTGACTGAGTTCATCTTGCTGGGGCTGACAGAGAGGTGGGAACTGCAGCCAGTCCTTTTTGCCATCTTTCTCTTGGCCTATGTGGCCACAGTTGGTGGCAACCTGGGCATCTTGGCTGCCATCTTGGTGGAGCCTAAGCTGCATACGCCCATGTACTTCTTTCTGGGGAATCTGTCAATGCTGGATATTGGGTGTGTCAGTGTCACAGTGCCCCCAATGTTGGTGCGACTTCTATCCCAAGAGCAAGCTGTTCCCTTTGCTGCCTGCCTCTCTCAGCTCTTCTTCTTCCACCTGTTCGCTGGCGTTGACTGCTTCCTGCTGACCGCCATGGCCTATGATCGCTTCCTGGCCATCTGCCATCCTCTCACCTATACAACTCGAATGGGCCCAAGAGTCCAGGCAGTGCTGGTGGGTGCATCTTGGGCCTGCTCACTTGGAAATGCATTGACCCATACAGTGGCACTATCCACACTTGATTTCTGTGGCCCCAATGTGGTGAACCACTTCTACTGTGACCTCCCTCCACTCTTTCACCTCGCCTGCTCCAGTACCCGCCTCAATGAGCTGCTGCTCTTTGCTCTGGGTGTCATCATGGCAGGAGCCCCCATGATCCTCATTGTCACCTCCTACCTGCAGGTAGCAGCTGCTGTGCTGCAGATCCGATCAGCAGAGGGTCAGAGAAAGGCCTTCTCCACCTGCAGCTCACACCTGGCTATTGTGGGCATCTTCTATGGGGCTGGTATCTTCAGCTACATGCGCCTGGGTTCCATTGAGGCCTCAGACCAGAGCAAAGGAGTTGGAATCCTCAACACTGTCCTCAGCCCCATGCTCAATCCACTCATCTACAGCCTCCGGAACCCAGACGTGCAAGGAGCCCTGCGGCGGGTTTTTACAGGGCAGAGAGTCTCAGTCTGAGGTGACCAGTAGCCTCGGCCCTTGCTCCCACTGATTTTTAAGGTCTTTACTAGGTTCTCAGTGGTCTCCTAGCTCTCTCCTTGGCCTGATGACAACAGGTGGCATCTATTGCCCCTCAGCCTCCAGCAGCCTAGGCCCTCATTCTTAGTGGTACTCCAAGTCTTTCAGAGGGATCAGGAGTCTCACAAGTCCTTCCTTAGCCTGAAAATTATAGGAATGAGTAGTGTTCCTTGGCATGAGGTAATCCTGAGGCTAAGGCTCCCTTTCTCAGAGATCTCTGCTTATGGGGACCTTTGTAGTCAGTCCCCCATTTTTCTTCTCTCTTTGGCTGAGAGCTGACAGGGATGGATCTCAACTGGAAGTGACTTTTTTCCTCAGTGTTCTTCCAGATTTCTTACTGAGTTTCAGCAGTCTCCTCACTTTCCTTGGCTGGACTATGACAAAATAAAAAGCATAGCTCAGTCTTCAGCCTGAGGTGTCCAAGTGCTCAGGCTTTTATCATCGGTGAGCCCTTTCTTCTGAGAGTCCCCTGGTCTAAAGTGCTAGGCGTCTTGAGCTCTCTTCCTTCAGGATTTCAAAACTCTCTTTCTCTTTCTCTCTCTCTCTCTCTCTCCGCCTCTCTGTCTCTCTCTCTGTCTCTGTCTCTGCCTCTGTCTCTTTCTCTCTCTTTCTCCCCCCCCCCATTTCTCTCCTCGAATTAATGCTGACAAGGATGGGTGACAGACAGACCTTGACCTCAGGTGACCATATCTTCCCAGGGAAACACCTGGGGAGCTAGGGGACTGAGAGAGAGAGAGAGAGAGAGAGAGAGAGAGAGAGAGAGAGAGAGAGAGAGAGAGAGAGAGGAAGGAGAGAAAGGCAGAGACAAGAGAAAGAGACAGAAACAGGCAAAGGGGGAGGGGAGGGGAAAGGCAATAGGAACGATGGGAAGACACAGTCTGTTTGCTCTAGGATCCTTTCCTGGAACAGTCAACTCACTCAAAAGCACTCATCCCGCCACATCCTTCACTCCTCTGGCGGGCTGCAGCCTCATGCCCGCACCACCCACCTCTCAATCAACTCTTCTCCCCCACCTTTCTCCTGGTCGGCTTAAAGAGCCAAATCCAACAGCAAGACTTAGGCAGCCAATTGAGAGTGCACCAGCAGGAAGTGGGAGGAGGAAGAGGAGCAAGACGCCCTGGCCAATGATTGCGGGCCTAGAAGGGGTGGGGAGAGAAACAGCCAATGGACACTCGACGGAGGTGGGGCTCCCAGGATTGAGAAGGTGGCCCTGACAGCCAATGAACTGAGGAAAAATTGCGGCAGAAATGACCAATATGCGCACGGGAGAGGCGGGGCTCCAGGAGAGTGAAGGATTGAAAGGAAAGGGGTAACCCCCAGAGTGACCAATCAGCGCCGTCGGCCTAAGAAGGAGGAAGCGTCCGCCAATGAGCATGAAATTCTGGAGGAGCGGCGGCTCCTACGGTCAATGAGATTGTGGGTAGGGGCTTCGCCGAAGCTGAAGCGGCCAACGGGATCTCGATGGGGGCAGGACTGACGGAACCGGGGCCTTGGGGAGGCCGTGGCCGGTTCCACCCTCCGGGAGAGGAAAGACGGGCTCCAAGATGGAGGAGGCCACTGTGGCAGCACCGTGACAGGTAAGGTGACGCCAGACTGAAGCCACGGTGGCCGTTCTGTATTACTTCCTGTCTTGTCCCGTGCGCCCCCCCCTTCACGGAAAAAGAATGGAATCTCCCGTCGCTGGGAGGGGTAGCTGGATGCAATGCGCAGGCGCAAAGGGAAGGGGGAGGGGCACGGGATTTGGTTCCTTTAAACTGGCTGGCTGCTGGCGCCTGCGCACAGGGCCCCTCCCGGGGGGGGGCTTTTTCCCCCTCCCCCCCCCCCCCCCCCCCCGGTTCTTTCCATTCCACCTCCCCCTCCTACACCACTCCCTCTCCTTTTCTGGCGCTTGGAAATCCCCAGCCACTCTCGGGAGCTTCGTTTTCCCTAGTAATGAGAGCTTCCTGGTAATGACTCTTGGAGATCTCCGGCTAACCCCAACATCTAGGTCACGCGAAGGGTTTTCTGAGATTTTCGTGCCCCACCCCCCTCGGCCGTGCCTCGCCCCTCCTGCTCCCCGAGGCCAAGTCTCTTCGAAATGAAGGCCCAGGGACACCGGGAGCACCTCTCGATTGTCCCTGGCTCGTTGTCTCCACCCATCTGGAGCCTGGGAACCACTTGAGTAGCCACTGGCTCCCCTTATAAGTACTCAGGCTCACAAGGCTGACCGCAGAATCACGGATATTTCTCAGAGAGTACGCACACACTCAGTCACTCGTAAACAGGAACACGAAGTGCACACGCCCCCCCCCATCCTAAAACAATCTCTTTAATTTATGATACTCCCCTGGGTGGGGCTCCAGCCAGAGTAATGCCAGGCTTTGCTCTTCCTAACCACTCTGATTTTTGCCTCCTAGAGCTCTGCTCAACAGGTGGTGGTTGTTTCTCCAAGACCCACCCACTGTCCACCATAGCTCCACCTCTGTGTTCCTTTGCTGATGTCCATAGTTCTACCATTCTACGTCAGGTGACACTCGTTGCTTCCCCAAGGGCCCAGCTCTAAACATTGATCCATATGGAGTGGCCAGTCTGAAGTCCCTGCCTTGCCCAACTGTGTTTACAGCTGAAAGTGTGTGTGAAGAACAGTGAGAGGGTCACAGCTCCCCTGTACCTTTGAAAACCTTTTTTTTATTTTATTCTTGGATCCCACAGCCTCTGCCTTGGCACAACAAAAAGGCTCTTAGGGTGCTGTGGAAATGTCCCTTCCTTGCATTGTTCAAACACGTCTTCATCTGCAACCCCATGCCAGGTTCTGGTGACTCAATATTGTTTGCTTTCTCTCCTCCCCAGCACCCAGGCTGTGCTTCTCCTGCTTATTTCTGTGGCAGCCCCACCCCCTCCTCAGAATTTTCCCTGGAATCATTTAAATGCCTCCACAAAAGATCCCTAAGGATTAGAATTAGAGGGCAGGACTGACGGCCCCAGCTCTTGGGGGCAGGATTCGTAGTCTCCTATCCCATCATCCTTGGCCTTCAAACAATGCTCCACCTCCATCAACCTCCTTTATGGGAACTAAAGGTTTCCTGACCCCCCCCCCCCCCCCCCAAGAGTTCAAGATCTTCAGCTCTTCCTCCACCCCAAATATTTTAACCCCATAAATGGTAACGAGAGGTCTTGAGCCACCCCAACATCATTATCATTCTAATGGTGCTTGGACATCACAGGGGGTCATAGGGCTAGAGCTGGACAGGAAGAACCTTATCATTTGACAAAGGAGGAAACTGAGGCAAGCAGAGGTGAAGTGACTTGCCCAAGGTCATCCAGCTAGTAAATGGCAGAGGCAGGATTTGAACCCAAGGCTTCCAACTCCAAACCCAGCACCCTTCCTGCTGCACCAGTTTCCAGCCCCCTCTCATCCTTGTCACCTCAGTAATGTAGAGAGAGCTACAGCCTACCCCATCATCTTTGTCGCCCAACAGTGTCCATCCCCACCTTTCAGGTCACCTTTGAATGTGGGGGGGACAAGATGAGACGAGGCCCAACTGCCACCCCGGCGGAACCTTCCAGGGGCCTAACCCCACCTGAAGATTCTGATGCTATCCCTTCCACCAGCAGTCGGGTTGGGGGCACTGTGAAGGTCTATCTGCCCAACCAGCAGCGCACAGTGGTGAGCAAGCCAGCGGGGAAGGAAGATCGGGGTCCCTGCCCAGGGAAGGGAGAGATTCCTAATCTTGGGAGCTGGGACAAGGAGGGAGACTTGGGAAGAAGTAAATCCCAAGCATCTGGGGGAATCGGGGCCCGTTAGGTAACTGCGCGGGATGGGATGACTGTCTCCGACTCGTTGGACAAGGCACTGAAGGTGCGGGGACTGAACCAGGACTGCTGTGCTGTCTATCGCCTTGTGCAGGGGTGAGCTCCCTGTCTGCCCTCCCTTCTCCCAGCTCCCCTAGCCATCACTGGTCCTTTCCACCCCGTATGTCTCATCCTCTCGGCTCCCTTAGACGGAAGACAGCAACAGCCTGGGATGCAGCCATTGCTCCCTTGCACGGGGAAGAACTGACGGTCGAGGTCCGGGCTGATGTGCCGCTTGCGGCTGCCCACAACTTTGCCCGGAAGACGTTCCTGGCGCTCACCTTCTGTGACTTCTGCCGCCGCTTCCTCTTCCATGGTTTCCGCTGCCAGACATGTGGCTACAAGTTCCACCAACACTGCAGTGCCCGCGTCCCCACTGTCTGTGTTGACATGGCCACCGCCCGCCAACCGTGAGGCCTGCGATCCTTTCCCAAGCCCCTGGGGTCTCCCCAAGAATGCCTAGCCTGTCCTCTGTGGGGTGGGGTGGGGTGGGATCTCCCTCATCCCAGCTGGTCCCTCTGGGGGCTCCCCGTCCTCCCCAGCCTTCCTAGGGTCTCTCTTTTCTCTTCTGGCTCCAGTTTCTACCGCAGTGTCCAGGACTTGACTGGAGGCCCTGGTGCTCATGAGCCCCAGCCTGGCAGCCAGGCCCTATCTGAGCCCCTCGCCCCAAAGAGTCCCAGGTAACACCAGCAGGTGGTAGGTGGAGGGGGAAGTCATAGGTCATCCTGCCCCAGGGGCTTCCACCTCTTCCTCCTCTTCCCCTTCCCCTTCCCCCCCCCCCCCCCCCCAGGACACAAACACAGGTCTCCCATGGGGAGACTTTTGCTTTCCCTGGGCCTGGAGGCCCACCCCTGCAGAGGATCCGCTCCACGTCCACACCCAACGTGCACATGATCAGCACCACCATGCCGGTGGACAGCAGGCTCATACAGGTAGGGCGACCAAGAACTGCTGCCCTCCCTGGATCACCTCCCAATAAGAACGCCCCGAGGAGGCAGTCTAGGGGAGTTGGGTTAGGAACATAGGAGGCAAAGGAAGATCTGGAGGGTCAGGGCCGGGGACTTGGGATGAAGAGACCAGAGTGAGGCCCTTGGCCTGAGGGAGCCCCCAGGCAAGCGAGGCCCCAGGAGTTGAGAGACAAGGCTGACCTCTGCTCCTGCTCTTTGCTCCCACAGCAGGCAGCCCAGGCCTTTGCTGCTGAAGGTGAGTGTCTGACTCCCTTGACCCCAGGCCCTGCTGCCCTCCTCCCCTAATACTCTGGCCTTCCGTTGCTCTCTGGTTTCTCATCTGTGTCCTTGCCTCTCCCAGGAACAGTGGGGGAGAGGACCCCCCAAGGCAGTCCTGGCCCCAGCCTCGTGTCCCCCCCTGGAAGGAAATCCCCACACCCCAAGTTCTCATCAGAGCCCCTTGAGCGCAAGCCCTCAGCTTCAGCTGATGATAAGAAGAAAGTGGTGAGCTGGGGAACACACACACACACACATACACACACCCACATACATACACACACCCACACACACACATTCACACTCACACTCACACACACACACTCAGGAAGAGGGGAACAATGGGGGAGATGCTGGGAGAATGGGCAGCTCACTGTACCCCCTGTCCTGTCCATGCCTCCCAGAAGTCTCTGGGCTACCGAGACTCAGGCTACTATTGGGAGGTAGCCCCAGGGGAGGTGCAGCTGCTGAAGCGGATCGGGACAGGCTCATTTGGGACTGTGTTCCGTGGGCGATGGCATGGGGACGTGGCTGTGAAGGTGTTAAAGGTGGCGCAGCCCACAGCTGAGCAGGCCCAGGCCTTCAAGAATGAGATGCAGGTCCTCAGGTGAGCATGTGCACTCCAGCCAGCACAGAGCACGCGCCAGCTCTGGGCAAGCCCAGGGTAACCGCCGCCCTCCCCACCTTGGCAGGAAGACTCGCCACGTGAACATCCTCTTGTTCATGGGATTCATGACAAGGCCTGCCTTTGCCATCATCACCCAGTGGTGTGAGGGTTCCAGCCTCTACCACCACTTGCATGTGGCTGATACTCACTTTGATATGGTACAACTCATCGATGTGGCCCGGCAGACAGCTCAGGGCATGGAGTGAGTTCCTCTGAAGCCCTTTGCATGCACTGTTCACACGTGGCTCGGCTCAGAGCTGTTCCACAAGTACCCCCCCCAGCCCGCATGCATGCAAACAGCTCTTCCTGACTCATATTCCTTTTCCTTCCAGTTATCTCCATGCCAAGAACATCATTCACCGAGATCTCAAATCCAACAGTATCCCCCTGCGCTCCCTTGAGGAGAGAATGCAAAGGGAGGGCATGTGTTTTCCAAGGGGGGTGGGAAATGCAATGTGTACTCAGGGGTTTCAAGGCAGGAAGATGTAGGGAAGGGTAGAGTGCCCAGAGAGTGCCCTCTGTGGCCCTTGACAAGGACGTAGATATCTTTCTGCACGAGGGGCTGACGGTGAAGATTGGAGACTTTGGGCTGGCCACGGTGAAGACGCGATGGAGTGGTGCCCAGCAAGTTGAGCAGCCCACTGGCTCTGTGCTCTGGATGGTGAGGCCTG